CTACAGTGCCAAAACCCTTTATAATAACTATGAATAAAATCATATAGCAGTTACATATTGAATGATTAAAATCAATAAATCTTGACGAAAGACATTAGATATATAAATACATCAATAAATAATTCATGAAATGTGAAAATTTCATTAGAGTTTCATGGATTAAAAAAGAATATTGATAATTAAGAAGAAAAATATTAAATGGCAATATAAAATCAACCAAAGCAAAATCCTTGACCCTTAATGTAACACTCGGTTTCAGATTTGTTTCGTTGCTTGAGGCTACGACCCAGTGATTAGTTGTCATGTGGTTTAGGGCTTCGGGGAAGGAAGGATTTGGCCCATTTCGGGTGTAGTTGTCATGGTATAAGTGATCCAAGTATTCGATTGTGTCTTCGGAAGCCAGGGGTATAATTGTAATTTAATATCTCAGGCTTTTGTCGATTTAGGGTTTTTGTTCAGGGGTTTTAAGGCCTGGGTGTGTTGTTAGGAGCGTAGGGCTTCTCGCCACCTTTTCGTGGATATAAGTTCCGTTGGAAACGAACATAGGATGAAGGAGTTATGGTAGTTTGAAGTTATTGGCAGTTTTGGTCCCTAATGGAAATAACTGGCAAGGCAGTCCCCTGCATGCAAGGATGCATGCATATGTTTGGCTGGGTACGCCCAACGTAAGCTGGGAGTACGCCCAACGTAATGATGGATAAGTGAAACACGAGACTTAGAGTGGTACGCCCAGCGTACAAAAACTACGCCCAACGTAGTGTGCTGAGTTCCAAAACCCTAATTTTTAGGGTTGGCTCACTACTTAAGCACCTTAAGTTTTAGGTGAGAGCCTCCCTTTCATCCTCCATTGTCTAAAACCCTAAATCTCGAGCTATAGCTTCATCCAAGAGTGTGGTGAGCCTTGTATGTGCATTTTTGGTGGATTCTTGTGTATTTCAAGAAGTGGTGGCTTGGTACAAGGTGGTGGTTCAAGGAAAGGCTTGTGGATTAGGAATCTTTGCTGCATTTTCAGCTCATTGAAGGTAAAAAGTTCTTAGCTTGATCATTAGAAGTTGAGATTTAAGATTATGTGGGTTTTGGTTCCATTTTGACCTCATGAGCAAGATCTAGTGGTTGGAGACCACTCCAGAAGCTTTGAGTTGCCACTCTTAGCAGATCCGAGGTTATAAGTTTATAAAAATGCTTGCTTGATGCTTAGATAAGGTCCATGCAAGTTCTTGATTGGGTTTTAATGGATTAAAATGGTTATTGGGTCCCTTTGGGTCATGCAAATGCATAAAGGTGCCGACTTTATGCATTAAGAGCTTTAGTTGGAGGTTCCCTGAAGTTTAGATGCAAATTGCTTAATCGGTTAAGTCATACATTGAGTTTGGAGGATCTACGGTTACGCCCCGCGTAAGTAGAGGTACGCCCAACATACCTCCTCTGCGGTCGCGATCCAGGTTCCTCGAGTACACCGAACGTAGGCTGAGCGTACACCCCGCTTTTTGTGGTTCTGTGGGCCTTTGGGCTTGTTTCATGTTTGAGCTTCGGTTTTGGGTTGGGTTTTTGTGTTGGGTATTTGGTCAGAAGAAATTGAGAGTTTTAGGACTTTTGGACATGTCTAGTTGGGCCAAGATTTTGTATTGGGCCTTGGTAGGCCCAATGGCTTTGGACTTTAGTGGGCCTAATGGGCTTGGACCTTTGGGCCATCAGAGAATTATTATTGGACTAGGAATCGTTGGACTTTTGGGTAAGGCCAATATAGGGTTGGGCCCAATTTGGAAAATTAGGCCATTAGTGGGCTTTTATGGATCTTGCGGTTTTTGGGCTTGATTAGTTTTGGGGCTTGGGCCTTGGTTGTGAGTCTTGTTGGACTGGGGGTAAAATGGTCAATTTACCCCAAGTTTGGATTATGGATCTTGGTTTAGAACTCAATTGCTAATTGGGTGATATTTTGGTATTGATAGCTTGGGAAGTCGTCAGGACAGTAACTAAGGATTTCTTTCAGTGAGCTTCTACATTCGAGGTGAGTCTCCCTTCGTAGAATCCGTGGGTCGAAGACACCAAGGCCGGCCCACTAGTATTGTTATAGCTTAATGATTGTCTTTGTGATAATTATTAAGGTGGTATGTATTGTTTGATGTTTATGTGAGATATGCATGATTTTATATGGTAGTGGTAGGGGTGAGATAGACCCCGTAATCGGTTGGAATAAGACCGAATGGTAGGTCGGACACCCAGATATGCCTGACAAGGGTAGGTCGGGCACCCATATATGCCTGACAGGGTAGGTTGAGCACCCGGATATGCTCAACAGGGTAGGTCGGGCACCCAGATATGTCTGCCAGTATGTTTGCGTTATATGTAGTATTTGGGGAACTCACTAAGCTTCGTGCTTACAGTTTGTGGTTTTGGTTTCAGGTACTTCCAGTTCGAAAGTGAAGGGTCCGACTTGATCGCAGTGCATACACCCATGTTTTCTGCAACATGTGATTTTGGGATTCAACTCTGATAATTGTGTTAATTAGAAATGTTTTTAAATGTTTGGATCAAGTTACATCTATGTTTTGATTATACTGAAAATGAAATTTTTATCCTTGATTTTTGGGATGTTACACCTAAAATCAAACTCAACGAACCAAGTGTTGCTAAAATATGTGACATAAGATATCTTGTATTGTGGTAAGTGATTTTTATCTTAATTGGGACAATGGTATTAACATCGATTAAAAACAAATAAGATAGACAAAACCAAAAGGGAAAACAAAGCTGGAAATTAAAAAGGCATTACCTTTATCACATTTATCCTAATAGCTCCGAAACACAACTGCAGATCAGATGCAAACAGAGAATGGTGACTAGGAATACGAGAAATGGCAAACAGAAGACGAGATCTATGAAGACTAACAACAGAGTGAGAACATCTCACTCTAGGTTGCATGACTTAAGCGAGATTCCATTGAAGCGGATGACTATCGGACGAAGGGGGGGAAACAGAACCAACATTTATCGAAGGTGAGAGAATCACGGATTCAATATTGATTTTCTGGAATCAAAAAATTCTGAAATCCCCTTAATGCCCTTTACATCCATTCAAAAAATTACAAATTGATTCTTTTAATTTTACAATTTACAAAAATGGTGCCTTTAATATTAACCTTGAATTTTTGAAGGATTGTGATTTGTTTTCGCATTCTCAACCTTTCAGACGTTCTCGATTTAACATCTCTCTCTCTCTCTCTCTCTCTCTCTATATATATATATATATATATATATATATATATATATATATATATATATATATATATATATATTACGGGGACAGGTGATAAACACGGAAGTTTAGAAAACATAAGGGTAAAAGTGATATTTTATAAAATTAAAGGCGGATGAGATGAAAATGATATTTGAAAAAGTAAAGAGATGTAAAATATTATTTTACAAAAAAAAAGAGGTTCCACATTATATAAAATTTAAGAATTAAAGTTGATGATTGGTACAAATTATATGAATGGTCGGGGTAGTTTAGATAGTTGACTTCTAGTACAAATCATCGTTTGTCATGTCCGATATCATTTTTGTTTTTCACAAGAACTTGGTGGGGATAATCGGTGAGGATGGGTTGGCCGAAACTTTGGTGGGGATGGATTCGTCAGACTTTTAAGTGGGAGGGGAGAGTTCATCAGAGATTTAGAAAGGTAGGACCACGTGTATTTATTTATAAATTATAAATAACATTTTACATAGAGATTAAATCCAAAACAAAAATAAACCATAGTTGATCTAAGTTAAAAAAATATTAAGAAACAGAAATACAAATTGTCCCAAACCATAAAGATCATTGGTGTAGTTTATGCTATGTATCTCGTAGTTTCGTGACTTTTGTCTTATGGCGTTAATATCGAAAAGTCATTTTGAGGTGTCTAATTTCTTCCAAAAGTTGATCAAACGGCTTTGTTATGGAATTTGGGCTTGGGTGTAGCCCGTAGGCCGTAACATTTTAAAAAAACTGATTAGTTTTTAAAGTTCAAAAGAAAGCTAAGCTGGTCTAGGATTTTGAAATCTAACCGGTTTAGGTTCCTCCATATACCGTATCCGGCTTAAAGACCCGGTTAAACAGATCCTTTTATTTTATTTTATTTAGTGATATTCATAAGTTTATTTAATAATTTGTTTTTTATTTTAAGAATTTGGGCTTGGGTGTAGCCCCTAGGCCGTAACAACAAATGATGTTTTTAAATTCTGTATCATACAATTCTATAAAACATAAATGTATAAAAAATAATTGTCGTGTGCAAATCACTTCCTAACCATTTATGGGCATGGTTTTAACAAAATAAAGAAGTTGATGTTTATAGTTTAAAAATCAAGCTTTAATTACGGATAACGAACTTTCGTAATCACGACAATCACATGAAGGCTCGTAATGACTAAAAAAACAACCATATGTTTTAAGACTTTGTGTATATAAATCAACGTCTTTCGTGGTTTATATTTATTTGTTGTATCGCATATGTGAAATACTAAAAATTAATTTAAGCGATAATAATTAAAATAATTAAAATAATATAATACAATGTATTTTTCTAGAAGCCTTTCTAGTTTCTATGATACGTTAGATTCTTGGTTACCCACGTGTCCATATGCTACGCCATTTTATTCGTTTCATCACGCAAGCAGTCGGCCCTTGAAAATAATATTTATGTCCTATTATCAATATTTTATTATTTCAATGTTAGATATTTTTATAAATAGTATAATAAAAGTATGGTCCCTGGACTTCATGTTTAGTCGATGAAAGATTCGTTTTACGGTTGGTTCAATCAAAAAATTATAATTTCATTTCATTTGGGTACTTATGTTATTGATATGATTGTAAAAGTGTAAATGTATGATCATGTAACATTATTTATTTATTTATTTATAATAAGCATTGTTTAGGGGAGAGTATTGAAAAGCAATCGCAACATATGAAGTATAATTTATAACAACTCAAACACTACACGGACTTGATTGATAATTTTTCGTCGACAAATACAGTCCTTTCAGTCATCTCACAACACTCAAAAGTCAAAATCGTCCCCAATTTCTCTTTGACTTACCTGTTATAGAACTTGAATCTATAAACAGAGCGTGTATCTATCTTCATAGTTAGGGAAAAGAAAACCACCCTACATCCTCTAGTGATGGAGCTAAATTTTAGTATGATGAACACAGTGGTATGTGTTGTTGGAGTGATAGTGATGATATACGGATGGAGATTTTTCAACTGGATCTGGTTGAAGCCGAAGAAGATGGACAAGTTCCTTAGAAAACAAGGTCTGAACGGAAATCCCTACAAATTTCTATACGGAGACATAAAAGAGATGGTGCAGATGACCGCTGTTGCCAAATCGAAACCCATAAATCTCAACGATGATATCGTCCCACGTGTCATGCCATTTCTGTACAACTCCGCGAAGACTTATGGTAAGAAAGTTATTGGATATTATGATCAAAGTGTTCTTGATTGTTGAACGAAAGAGTGAAAATTTATACTTGTATGATATATAGGTGAAGGAAAGAATTTCTTTACATGGATGGGTCCACGACCTTTGGTCCACGTCACAGAACCTGCACTAATAAGAGAGATTTTGGCCAACTATTCTCAGTTTCAAAAGCAAAGAGGAGGAAATCCATTAACAAAGATGCTAGCAAGAGGGCTAGCAGACGTTGAGGCTGATCAGTGGGCAAAACATAGAAAGATAATCAATCCTGCTTTCCATGTCGAAAAGCTCAAGGTTCATTCATGTTTCTTTCTAAGTTACCAAAAATACCAACAAACTCTATGTTGTAAATCACTGATTCCATTAATGTTTCATATTTGTAGCATATGTTACCTGCTTTTTACGTTAGCTGTAGTGAGATGATCAACAAATTGGAAGAATTAACAAAAGAAAGATCGAGTGAAGTTGATGTTTACCCCCATCTCCAAACATTTACTAGTGATGTAATATCACGTACAGCATTTGGTAGCAGCTATCAGGAAGGAAGAAAAATATTTGAACTTCAAAAAGAACAAGCAGTGTTAGTTATTAAGGCTGCACAATCGATGTATATTCCAGGATCAAGGTGAGCATGCTTTCCATTTATAATACCTTTCAGATTTTGTCCAGAAATACTGTTTGATTCTACAATTAATTATCATTTCTTAGATTTTTGCCTACAAAGAGCAATAGAAGGATGAAGGAGATTGACCGAGAAATAAAGGGATCAATAAAGAAAATTATAAATAAAAGAGTAACAGCAATGAAAGCTGGGGAAAGTAGTAGCGATGATTTATTGGGCATATTATTGGATTCGAACTACAAAGAGATCAAACAACAAGGGGATACAATTTTTGGGCTGAGTATTGATGAAGTCATTGAAGAGTGCAAACTCTTTTATTTTGCAGGGCAAGAAACTACTGCAAACTTGCTTGTTTGGACAATGATTTTGTTAGGCCAACATACAGATTGGCAAGATCGAGCTAGAGATGAAGTTTTAAAGGTGTTCGGAGAAAGAAAACCAGATATTGACGGATTAAGTCACTTAAAAGTTGTAAGTAATTTCTCTGGTGCCTGGATTTATCAAACTGTATATCAACTAAATAAAAGCATAATGTATTAAGTACTACTCCATTTTTTATACCATGGGGTAAAAAAATGTGTAGGCCAATCACAATATCTTATAGAGCAAGAATCAAGAAGGTAATGCCCATTTTTGAACTCAGACTTCACTTATGGGTTCTTGAGGTTTAATCAAAAGCAATTCACACTAAATGAAGATAAACATGATCATATTTATTATTATTGTTGTTGACAAGAATCATATTTTTTTAGCGTATTCTAATAAATTTTTTTGCAGATTAATATGATATTGCATGAGGTACTTAGGTTATACCCGGCAGGTATAGTATTGGGGCGGATGATTCATGAAGAAACTACATTAGGAAACATAACCTTACCTGCTGGTTCACTCCTCTACTTGCACATGATGCTTTTACATCATGATAGTGATATATGGGGCGATGACGTGCACGAGTTCAAGCCTGAGAGATTTGCAGAAGGTGTGTCAAAGGCAACAAAGGGACAAACATCATACTTCCCTTTTGGTGGGGGTCCACGTATATGTATCGGCCAAAACTTTGCTATGTTGGAAGCAAAATTGGCACTTGTTATGATTCTAAGAGGTTTCTCGTTTGAGCTTTCCCCATCATATGTGCATGCTCCACATACTATCATCACTTTGCAACCTCAGTTTGGTGCTCAATTGACTTTGCACAAACTTTAGTGGTTATTGTAGAAAAAACGAGATACATATATACCACCGTTGGTTTATATATATGTCTACTATATTGAATGCACAACAGATGCATTATTCATAGGAGCATCTAGAAGCAGCTGAATAGGTTATCAAAAATTTCTATGATTGTCGTCTAGATTTTGTACGAGGAAAATATTGATGCATTCAATAATATATAGCACGATCAAAATCATAAAAATAAAGAGCTGAGGATAAAAATAAAGAGTCGAGGGCAGAAACATCGTATCATGATTTCAGATGGCTCAAACCACTTATTCTGCACCGTCGAGCATTATTAACTATGAGACGATATCTATTAGAACACTTTCTATATTAGCAACTATATATAGACTTGATAAATGTTAACTTAAGTGATGTATTTCCCCTGTAGCCACAATAACCGGTTTGTTCATAAGCTCGACATTGATAATATGTTCCTACACAACGACCACAACGAGAAGTGTATATGAAGATCCTTTAGGGATTTGATAAGGAGGAAGATACAAAGGTGTGTAGGCTACATAAATCTCTCTATACTCTATAGTCTAAAACAAGCTTATCGAAATTGATACCATATATTTGCGAATGCCTTGCTCAACCTTGATTTCAAACGATCCGATGCAGACCACTCTCTTTTCATTTTTAAAAGAAACAATGTTTATATTGTGGATTTAATCTAAGTCGATGACGTCATCCTTATCAACAATGATGCACAACAAACAAAAGAAACCAAGACAAATTTTAATGAAAAGTTCAACATTAAGGATATTGGCCTATGAAAATATTTTTGGGGTATTGAGGTTGCTCGCACCCTAGATGACCTATTTTGAGACAACAAAAGTACACTCTTCACATATATCAATATCTTGGATACAAGAATGCAAAAGTTCATGTATCTATACATCACATACACATACCTATTTATAGGAAGAATAAATTTAAGATGTGTTTTATCCAATCAAATAAGGGAAACTCCTGATTAGAACGTGTGGCAATCTAACAAATAGCTCACACTAACATACACTATCATTTAGGAGCATAATAGCAATCATAATAGCAATCATAAGCATCATTCCAAAAATACAATATCTAAAACACAAAACATCTATTACAAAATAAAAAATACGGAACTAATTTATTTGAGGAAGCATTCAACTTGTCACAAAAAATACGAAACTTTACACAATTCCAAACTCAGTTCCAATCCCAAACCCAATTCTAATTCTAATTCTAATTCAAACCCCAACCTCGTATCATATCTGAAACCGATTCTGATCCCGAGGATGATCAACCTCAACCGGAACCAGAGAAAAAAAAAGGAAAGGCACCGATGTCAATGAGATTCGATGTCAACCGGAACCAATCCCAAAACCAAATAAGTCTTTAAAGCTAGAGGGAGTGATGTCACTCTTACCACATTTCTTTAGCTGCCATGTAAGCACCACGTGGTATTTGTTACTTTATTCAAAAGATTATTTTTTAGAGGACGCAAATTATCACTTTTGACGTGCTAGTTTTTTTAACTAAAATTTATTTATATAAAAAATAATCAATTCAAACAAATTAAATTTTATAAAAACTTAAATTTTATTAACTTGAAAGGAAATTACAACACATTTAAAAAAATACAACATAGAAAACAAACTACGAAACGTAGAAATTACAAATATGAAACATAAAAACTAAAACTATGAAACATAGATAAACCTACATATAATATTTTTTTGCAATCTCGTTTTTTGCTTAACGCCAATTCTCTTTCGCTTCCGGTAAGGTGACTTATATTTTTTGTTAAGATCGCCATGTCACAAGATTTTTCCCAGAGTGGCTAATCATTCCTCGCGCTGACTTGTTATACACTGCACCCACTCATGAAACTTCCACTAACCCTGCATCACTCGTGTATGCTAGCCATACATAACACTGGTTCCTATAGATAGTCGAATACTCGGTCCTACTCTAAGCCCACAACCAGACAAGGAACAAGAAATAAAGTCAACCCAAATATTTTCAGGCTATAGAATCTTAGTTATGTACAACTATGATGCATACACTACGCAACTACAGTAATGATGTCAATTTCATATAAGGAAGAACCCTAGGCTATCAGACATCATATAATCAGACAATTCTATCATGCAATTCTTGAAGATCTCTAGCCTATCACTAACATGCTGTTCTAACATATCACAATATCAAATAATAGTATGGTATTCTGGGGTCTACTTACTGGCTCCGGCTGATCGTACTGTAACATCCGGATTTTCAGGTATGTTATTTTGAATTATTTATTTTTGAGGATCATTGAGCTACTCGACGAGTTGGTGCTATAACTCGTCGAGTAGAAGCGGGGTGGCCACGTGAGTTTAAAGAACTACTCGACGAGTCCAAGAGTAGACTCGCCGAGTAGGCGCTGTATGTGGAAACCCTAAATCTTCAGGCCTGAGCCCTATTTAAAGGCATTTATGGTACCATCCCAGAGAGAAAACCCCATCGATCTTGAGTGTGTAGAGTGAGATAGAGAAGGCCATTTGAGCTTTTGGTGTGATTTTGCAAGAAAGGAGAGGAGCTCCAGCAAGAAGGACCAAAGGAGATTGCTATTCTGAGTTAGCTAAGCAAAGAGTTCACCTTGAGGTACCAAATCAGATTCCTCTTTCTCTCTATTGTATGGGTTTCATTATTTGGGGTTAGGGCTTGAATCCTTCCTTTTTGGGGGTTTTGGATGCCTCAAACCCCCTTCTTCGAGTTGTGTTAGAGATCTGGACCCTTTTAGGTCCAGGAAGTCCCAAACATCCAGCTTTATGCATTTCCAATGGAGTTTTGAACCTAGGTTGCCATTTTAGGAGCTATTTCACCATAAGAAGCCCTAGGAGTGTTGTATGAGCGTAAAGGTTGGACCTTTACGTAATTATTGGGCACTAGAAGGTCAGATCTATAGGTTAGAGAAGCAGATCTGACCTCAGAAGGTCATTTGAGTAATCTCATGGATGAAACTCGCTGAGTCCATGAGCGGACTCGACGAGTCGGGTCGTGTTGCACCACGATTCGTGATCTGTGGTAAACGTTGAGAAAAAGGTTAACTCGACGAGCCGAGTAAGGCCTTAGGAGGATTCGGAAGACATGTATGGACTCGCCGAGTCACCCAAGTGTACTCGACGAGTCTAGTCAAAGTTGGACCGTCGACTGGGGTTGACTTTTAGGGTTTGGTCAGCATTTGGACATTGGACCATTGGAGGGGTAAAATGGTCTTTTCCCCTTCTGCGAGAATATAGGGAGGGATTAGTTTAGCCTTTGAGAGCCGTATTAATTAGAGATAATTACTTTATGTGATTAGGTGGAGGCTAGAGCAGATATTCGAGTTCGAGACTTTCCGAGATTACCCGAGGTGAGTCTTCTCACTATACATTACCATGAGTGGTATCTATGTGCAGACCGGAGGGTCTTATGTGTTATGTGTATGTTGAGTTTATGTGCATTGTGTTATATGTATGCTATGTGTTATATAGACCGGACCGGAGGGTCCAACGATTTAAACCGGACCGGAGGGTCCCACGTTTTAGACCGGACCGGAGGGTCCAACGAGCTAGACCGGACTGGAGGGTCCAACGAGCTACGGGACTGGAGGGTCCCGCTGAGACACATTGACCAGAGGGTCATACCGGGTTATAGCCTCGAGTGGCTTATGTGTTGTATGTGGTATATTGGGGAACTCACTAAGCATTTATGCTTACCGTGTTATGTGATATGTGTTTCAGGTACCAGTGAGGATCGCGGGAAGGCGCCGACATGATTTGTACACACTGGCAGAGGATTATGTTTTGAGATTTTGGGATATGTTTTATTATGATGACATTTGATGATGAGATTCTGGGAACATTATATATGTTTTTATTATGTGGAAAAGTGAAAAATTGTTTGAAAAATTTACGTCGTTACAAGTTGGTATCATAGCCTTGGTTTGAGAGATTTGGATGCACCCCCGGGCGTATCTGAACTCAAACTGAGGATTTGAAAGGAATTTTCATAAAATAAACAATTTTTCTAAAAGAGTAAAAGATTTTTGAGAAAAGCAGAACGGAACAGTGTGTACGATCAGCCAGCGCCCGAACGGTGATTTCCCAAAATACCCTTACATTATGTGTTATGAGATATTATGTGATGTGTTATGCATGCTAGTGTAGGCTAGGTATTCATGGTTAGGACTAGAGTGGGCCTGATTTGTGATGCCTTAGCCTAGGAGGTACTGCTACTATGAGATACTTCGAGAGTGAGTAGGTAGCAGCGAAGAGCTTATGAGTGGTCTATTGGGGAGTAGCCCGAGTTTAGTGAGATATAGAGTACTTGTGATCTGGGATCCTAGGAGGAGGACTTGGGGTGAATACCGATGCGTTGTGGAAGGTAGTATAAGGGCCCGTACTACTGGAAACACCGGATTGGTGAGCAGACCAAGTAAGAATCCTTAGGGGACTAAAGAACAAGTAGGGTTGAGTATCGAGTGCGAGTATACTCGAGCGAGTCTCTGACTTCTTTTGTGTTGTATTTCAGAGACATCATGGTTGGGACGCGCCACCACCCAGGAGGCAGTGGTACCGGTGGTACCAGTGATGAGGAGATCCGTAGGTTGATTCACGAGGAGGTGGCCGCAGCCATACGGGCGGAGATTCCTGAGATGTTTGGGTCTATCAAGACCACTTTGATTGAGACATTTGACGAGCGGTATGCTTCTCTTACCGAGGCTGCTGTTGCTGCAGCCACCGCAGCCGTCGCCGCTGCCAGACCATAGGGGGGTGACTCGTTGCTGTACCGAGAGTTCAGCAACACGAAGCCACCAGAGTTTGATGGGACTCAGGATCCGATAGCAGCGATGAGGTGGATTTCTGACATTGAGGGATGCTTCTACACCTGTTCTTGTCCGGAGCATCTGAGGGTACGGTTCGCGCTGAACCAGCTTCGCTTGGGAGCGAAGGACTGGTGGAAGTTTGTTACGACAGACTTCACTCCTGCAGAGATTACATCGGTGACCTGAGAGAGGTTCACCACCATGTTCCGAGATGAGTATGTTCCCCCGGTGGAGAGGGAACGGTTGGCACAGGAGTTCTTGTCCCTCAAGCAGGGAACTGAGTCGATGACGGTGATTACGAGGATGTTTCATGAGAGGGCGTTGTTTTGCCCTGAGCACGTGTCGACCGAGCAGGCACGTATGAGCCGATATCTGAGCATACTGAGGAGAGACATTCGCGAGTTCGTGGCGAACTCGACGTACCAGACATTTGCCGAGCTCCAGGCAAATGCTCGGAAGAGGGAGATCGAGCTGGAGACTCAGGCCAGGGAGGAGGCCGAGTCTCAGAGGAGGGACAGGCGACTGGCACAGTCGCAGCCGGCAGCCAAGCGGGCGAAGCCCGCTGATTCGAGATCTGGGGTCTGAAGGGCCGCACTTGTGGGAAGTGCGTCAAGAGCCATGAGGAGTGTGCAAAGCAGGGGTGTGTTACAAGTGTGGGAAGGAGGGGCATTTCACGAGGGATTGCCCCAAGGGATTTTCGGTTTGCTTTCATTGCAACCGGGACAGGCCATCGGAAGGCCGA